GTGGCTGGCTCTACTATTGTGAGCCAAAGAGAGAACACCATGGCGCTGTTGGGGTAGAATTTGATCACCTCTTGGCAGCCAGGGAGCAAAGAGAGTGACCATAGAACAGGACAGCACCCAAGATGTATTCCCCAGTGACCTACTTCCTCCAACTAGGCCCCATCCACCAATGTTCCTAAAACACCACAGAATAATGCCAGAGAACCAAGCCTTCATCACATGAGCCTATAGAAGAACATCTCAAACTCAGACCAAAACAGAAGGCTGTTCCGTTCACATCCTCCGTCTCGTAGCCATCCTAGACTCTGACCTCCACATATGAGCTGGAACAGAAGAGGCAGCTCAGCTGGTAATACTGTCCTTCACATACTACTCTCTAGATGGGATGGGGGTAAGGACAGGCACTACTCAACTTCAGAGTTCTAACTTTTGTGTGACCTTAGCCAAGCTACTTTGTCTCTGACTAAACAAGCAGAAGATGCCTGGGGCAAACGGTAATGTGATAATCTATGGATCCATCTATTCTCTCCAAAGCAGTGACAAAACATGGACTATTTGCTAGGAGATCCTATACGGTTTTTTTCCTATCTAAGTGGAAATAGGCAAACATTATCATCCCACCTTATGAACAGAGGAGACTGCTGTGTACAGAAGGGTGCAATGGTAACTTACCGTGAACATTCAGAACATTTGGGTGACTAGCATAGCCTTCTCTTCATGGAAATTCATTGTCTCCTTATTCACTAAACACTCTTCAGAATGTTTCCTCTCTCCTAGAATGTGCACAATATGTCAAAGTCACACGGAGGATCTGAATGCTAAAGAGTTCATATGCCAGGTGTCTGTCCTCTGTCCATGTGAAGATGTGTGACACACATTCCTAGTGTCAAATCCACAGTCAGATGTACTCCATCAGCACTGAAATGGGCTTTCATCATTTGCTTTGTGCAAGGCTATCTTCTGATTTATTAAATGACTCTATGATCAGCTTTGAATAACTATTTAGGAGTTAGAGGCATAATAACAAAGTCTTAATAATTTCCCCATCCAATTAAATAGTCATAGCAATGATTTGTTGATTGTGTATTTTATATGTTCACCTTTATGTAGATGCACACATTTATTTTATTACATAAAATGAGGAGTTGAAGATCATATATTTGAAAATAAATATCACTTTTCCTGACACAAAGAAAATGTTCCCCCCAAACAAGGATTTTTCTAACTGGGAATAGGGCTGTTATGGTACACCCGGACTGCTGAAACAGAATGCTATAGCCCAGGATTCTAATACATAATGTAGATTCGCTCCCTAGAGCTCTGAGTGCATAAAGGCCAGAATCAGGGGTCACAGATGTAAAGGGCTCTTTCTGGCTCCTAAGTGGCTCCTCTGGCCGTGTCTTCACACAGCAAAAGGAATGAGGCCGTTCTCTATGGGCTCTCTTATAATGATACTAATTTATAGCCCTCATTAATCAAGACATAGCACCCCCTTAATTGCCCTACATCCTATAACCATCACCCTGGCCTTAAGTTTCAACATAAGGATTTAGATAAGACAATCAATAAAACCATGGATGGGACACATGAACGGTTGTTATATAGCACATTTAGATAAAAATAAAGTCTAACTGAAGTGCCAAGCTCCATAAAGAGGACATATCATATTTTAGTAGACTCCAGGCACGGAAGTCGAAGAAAGTTACGTAATCAAAACATATAATAGTTAGAATCAGTAGCTCTAAAATAACAATCTTTAGCACATGATTGGGCAGTCATGTTGGAGATATTTTATGGGTGTAGTTTCTGATACTACCATGAGACAGTATTTATGAATGTATATGTATATACATTTACAAAATGCAATAGCAATTAGTGAAAAATGAGCCAGGAGTTTTGGAGAACAAGGAAGGGTATCTGGGAGGGTTTGGAGGAAAGAAATAGAAGGGAGAATGTTGTGTGGAGGCTGCTAGTGTGTTCCCAGCTGCCCTCTGCTTGTTCTTTTCCTGGCCACCCAGACTCCTGAAATAATTACACAGACTCCACTGTTTGGCCAACCACAAGCTCTTACATCTAGAATTAACCCATCTCCATTATTTTATATTTTACCCCAAAGCTCATTGCTTACTGGCAAGGTTTCAGCATGTCTGTCTCTGGTGGCAGGCCCATGACTTCTCCCTGACTCCGCCTGCTTCCTCCCAGCATTCAGTTCAGTTTTCTCTGCCTACCTCTATTCCCTGTACAGGCCCAAGACAGTTTCTTTATTCACCAATTGTATTCACGGCATACATAGGGGAATCCCACATCAGGTGAAATCTTATAATTAAAATACAATCTCAAAAATAAAAATTTTAAATGTGTCATATTTTAAAGACTGTTTTAAAAGAACATGTAACATAAAAAATAATACATTAATTATATGATCTACTTTTATTTGGTATTTGGGAATGAATCAAAGAATTCCATTACATGATAAAAAAATCTTTACAAATTATATTCTCCTGTATTTTATAACAATTTTATACATCTTTACATACTGAATCCATTTGGAATTTTATCTGTGTGATTTGGGAGGTAGAAAAGGAATTCAGGTTTTTAAGTGAAAAGGTACAGTTGTCCTCACATCACTTATTGCTCAGGGTGGTGATTCATATCCACAATCCTAGGTATCAGGGGAGCTGAGGCCGTAGATTGTAACTTTGAGATCAGCGACATAGCACGACCCTTCTATTAATGGAAACAGAGGAGGCTGAGAAAGGGGATGAGAAGGAAAGGAAAGAAAAGAGAAGAGAAGGGAGAAAACAAGCATCTTCTCCCCGCTGACTTCCAACGACCCTTTGTCTGGTTTCAAATGCTCACATACGTGTAGGCACATCTCTGGGTTGTATTCTATTTCATAATTTACTCATTGTTTCCAATGCCAACAACATATTCTTTTAAAGTCTTTGATTTGGTAACGAATTCTATGACAATTGTGTGTGGTTGTGACTATTTGAGTCCTAGAATCAGTCCGTCAAAGGCACAGAAACACTCTTGGGGTTTTCCTGAAATTTCAACTGACTGTAAACTCACTTAGTAAACAACAGCTTATTTTTGAATTGTGCTTTCTGATTGGTTAGCTAAGGGCATGCATCATCTGCAACCTTCCCTGCCCTTCAGCCAAGTTTATACTTTCCCAGTATGATCTTTACTAACTCTTCATGGAGTTGGCAAGAAGATTCCTGAAAATAGATTAAGCCTTGCTCCCTTACAAAAATCCTTCTCTAAGTTTTTCATGCAAATTTTTGCTCCAAAAACCGTTCTTTAGCTCATCCCGGCTAGAAACCAATACTTAGCCGCTGCTCGTCTTTGCCTTTTAAGCGGGGAAACTTGCTCTGTGTAGTCAGCATTCTACAAGGGAAAATGAAAGCTTCTCAGGGCACACAGTAGAAACAAATCCGGTGCTGCCCATCACTGTGGATGCCAGTGTTTCCTGTACACCCATAAAAGATTCCCACCCAAAACATACACCTGGGCCTTTGGTGAGCATAGAGGACGCATACAAATAACATTTCTTGGGGCTTTCTTTGAATGTCAGCAAAGTTGTTTGAGATTATGAGGGGAATTCTTCAGTGCCATAAAAGTAGAGATTATCCCCAATTGCTAGTTTGTGGTTGCAGTAACAATTGTTAGTAAAAAACATCTCCTCTGGAATGAGTCTCCCAGCTCCCTCTTTCTATCAACAGTCAAGTCTCAGGAAAGAATTAATTCCTCGCTGATGCTTCCTCCCTCTCCTTCCTGTTATTCTTCCCCAGAGACCGTGTTTCTCTCCTATATTACCATGGAAAAGATGTTATTTTACTGCCTTCTGTCCATTCCTACCATCTGGATATACTGCTAGATTATTCTAAAGGATATGCACTCATTGAGAGGGCTAAACAGTAACGCGCATCCCAGTGTCAAAACCCTTGAATGTTGTCTTAGTTGAGGTTTTCATTGCTATGATAAAAATACCATGGCCAAAAGCAACTTGGTAAGGAAAGAGTTCATTTCAGCTTAAAACCCCCAGATCATGCTCCATCACTGAGGAAAGTGAGGGCAGGAATTCAAACAGGTACATGAAGGCAGAAACTGAAGCAAAGATCACAGAGGAATTCTGACTTGCTCCTCCTGGCTTGCTCCTCGACCTAGTTTCTTCTTCATTTCTATTATTTTGTTTTACATATATGGGTGTTTTATTTTGCACATATGGATATTTCTGTGCACCATGTGCGTGCTTGGTACCTACAGAGGCCAGAGATGTTGTCAGATCCCAGAACTGGAGTTACAGACGGTACTGCCATGTGGGTCCTGGGAGTTGAAACGGGACCCTCTGGAAAAGCAGCCAGAGTTTTTAACTGTTGACCCATCTCTCCAGCTCCAGAAGCCTACTTCATTGTATACCCAGGACTATCTGCCCAGGAGTGTACTGTGCCCTTCCACATCAATTGTTAATCAAGAAAATTTCCTACAAACTAGTCTATAGGACAATCCTACAGAGGCACTTTCTCAGTGAAGAATCCTTTTTCCCGGAGACGTCTAGGCTGTGTCAAGTTGACAAAAACCAACCAACACAGATGACTATTGTTAAGGAATAAGTGTAGAGGTGGTTACAGCGCACATTTGTGCACATGCAGTGGGCCATTTTCTATAGAACATAGTGGCCAGCTATCTTTAAACACAGTTCCTCACTCATGGCCTGTGTTACAACTTACATATATTGCAAATCCTGAAAGCCCTGCTTGATAACCACTATCCATACAGTAATGTAAGATGGTCCCCACTTGGAGATTATTGACACATCTCCCTCTTAATGAGTGGGAGAGCCCATTCCTCTGATCCTCATTATGTACGCTTGCCCTAAAGTCAAGAACCTACTTCAGGGATAGTAAAACTGTCACTGATCAGAAGTGGTTTCATTGATTTGATTTCTCTCTGGAGGACAAATGTGTTGTTAAGCATCTCCTTGTCTCAAATTGCAGATCACAGTATTTCGAATGGGATCAGAAGGCCACCAGGACATTGATTTAGCTATCCTGACAGCATTACTCAAAGGTAAGAGTTCCTCTATCCACATAACACAAAAAGTAATTTAAATGGATTAACAGAGACACCTTAAGCCTCCTACTAATGGACTTAACCCCAAATGGTTTATGTCACATCTAATTACTGACAGCCCATTGACCCATTGTGTAAGACAGTGCTACCACTATTGAAGCCTTTTAATGCTGACATATGTTGTGTGTGACTTGATTTTGTAAGTTTTGAATAGAATGTTACTCATGTCCATTTAAATTTAAATAAAAATTTAATCATAAAAATTTAAATGAAAAATGTTAACAGAATATGTAAAATGCTAAGTTATCTAAAGTTATTTAATAATTATTATTACTTTATTTTCAAAGCTATCTAAATGGAAATGGGCATAGATGTATATATTAAAATTAAAAATCAAATATCATTCAGAAGATAGAGAAATGAAAACGTAGACAATACTCCTTGTTATAACTGAGCATTAGACAGAACTTTAACTTCCCTGTTGAACATAGTAAGCGCAAGCATGCTTGAATTGTTGGATTTTAATTTATAGGGTGGATATTTTCCCTACTCTCTAGACTCAGTCCTTCAAAGATATCTCACTACCTGCCCTTACCCTTGGAGCCGTGGCCAAGTACAGGCCAATTTCCTCCAGGTTCTATAGATGAAGCCTCCTCTTTAGTATACCTTAGTGAGCAAGCTACACTTGGCAAAACTTTTAATAAATTAGTATAAACAGAAGAAAGTTAGGCCTGTTCAGATCTAAAATTCAGGCCGGAAGTATATGGAAGACAAACTATAAATGTTTCTAAGTGTGGTTGTCAGTCACAAACATCTGTGTTCTCACTTAGCGCTATTAACACATCTGCAGCGGCCCTTATCACCCCCTCGTCGTTGCGTGCCCATGACCTCCATAGACTATAAACTCAATGAGAGCAGAAAAGCTGTCCTATTCACCTTCTCATCATGGAACTTAATCCCCAATTCATGCCGCCTTCAGTTTTTGTTGGATGAAGAAGTGAATGGATTACTCAATGATCCAGTGATAGAATCGGTGTTCTATATTTCAGAGTAAAAAAGGACAGTTACTTCATGCGCTGTTTCTAGAATATTACTCTTCTTTCACTACCACTATTTTCTTGAAAACTTATTATGTGGCAGTAGCTGTGCGAAGCTCCTTACAACTACGGTAAACATTAATCACAGCAACAGCTATGTGATGCAGGAACTAATTGAATCTCCCTTTGCCAGCGGAGTAAGAAAAGCTACACAAGGTGAAGTAACCTCCTTCACACTCAAACTCATGATTATGCCTGAACTTAGGACCAACATATCTGACTTCCTCCTGGACCTCATGAGACCCTTAGACAAATATGATTACCAGGCTTCCCTGTTCATTCCTTGAGTGTCTATATGCGTTCACTAGACTCCTGATCACATATCAGGAAATTCTCATTCCCTCCTAGTGTGTGGTGTATCCTAGGTTAGACATTTCTGTAAGATGTTTCATTTTCAACTACAAATATAGATGCTGGGAAAGAGAATTAAGGGCCTGAGGCAGGCATGAGTAGGTTGAGCCACAAGATACACTCTGGGCTTTATGCTGTCTCTATCGGAAGCAAAGGTGAAACTTCTTTGCTATAAAAGTCTGATGTTTTCTATTCTCATATAAAGATAATGAAGAAAGTAATAACATCAATAAGCAATATTTGTTGAAGACTCACTGTGTGCCCAACACTGTGAAGAACATTTATTGCATTCCTTCATTGATTCTGCAAATAGCCTACCAGTTCATCATGAGCCTCACTTATACATAAGGAACCTGAGGGACAGAGCCGGTGAGAGTGTGCTCACAAGGAGTTGGCTAGTCAATGGTTCAGTCCAGAACTGAGAGCTCGTACATACAGCCAAGATATCCCCCACTCCATTGACATCAACAAATGCCATGAACAAATTTCATAGCAAATGGGAAGGGGAATCTAAGTCTCAGAAAGAAAACACAGTGATTGTGACTGTTCAATGAAAACACTTGTCTTCAACAATCTGTGAAACTAGAAATTAGGCGTCATATTCAGGTCAGCCCTACAATGTATTTGGCATATTGTAGAATACTTACTTGTTTTCTAGCTTTTTAGTGTGCTACTTTACAAAATGAAATACAGTTTGTGTCATAGTCAAAGAGTTATACATATTGCTCTTTAAAATTTGAAATGTATCTCAGATAAACTTACATGGACAATATGCAATGAAACTGAATATTTTCTCTTTTAATCTACTTTCCCAGATGCTGATTGTACCTACTAAATTGATTTCATGGGTCATAAACCTACATCTTAAAAAAAATACTGCAATAGGAGATGAAAGAAAATTTTGATTGCTCTAAGAAATTAATGTTTCTAATCACTATAATGAACACTGTTTATGCAGCCGTTATGCTGAGGGAATTTGTGTCATTAAATGATTATAGTGTGAACTCTATTTTGCAAGGACTACTGAATACCCCCCGACACTGACCTACTTGATTTGGAAAGGGAATCGGGCACAGTTTTGGATGACTTCTTTGATGATCAAGCATATATACGTAATTACATCCATTTTAGATTCTTAAGTTTATTATATTCCTCCTGTGTGTTTAGCCAAGACTTAATTTTCACAATTATATTTAATTTTCAATTATGTAATGCACAGGGGTTATTTGTAGAGTCCAATTTTTATTCTAAGACATTTCTGAGAAAACCAGTAGTTAGACTGGAGGAGAGTCAGGAAGCAAACCGTTGCTTCATAAGGCCACTGGGGAAAAAGGCAAGGCAGATGGGAAACCAGGTGGCCATGGGGAAAATAAGTCTTTGCTTCCCTTGTTTTTGAGCTGTTTAATTTTCTCATATTTGAATTTATATTAGTAAATCTTCAGTCTTCTGATGCGTGCTTTTAAGCATTGCAATGGTAAGCAATAAAGTAAATGATAAAGGTGAATTTCCCCACACCTTAGACAGATGTCTTTCCTATGGAGCATTTTCAAATGAATGCAGTAAAGAAAGAAAGGGTACAAAGGAATGATGTTCCAGAGAGCCAGGAAATCCAGGGTGGCTTCAGATAGTAATGTGGGTACTTTTGACAAGAAGTGACATCACATTGACCTTTACATGGAAAGTGAGGGTCCCTGCCAAGGGCTGTGTGCCCTCCCCTCACCCACTCTTCCCTCCCCACCACTCACACGTGGAGAAAACATATATGCAGCAGATCCAGCTGCGTCGCAACGCTTCAGGTGCCAAATAAGCTGTTTTAATAAAAGAGCAAAGAATCAGCATGTATTTACCTAATATAAAAAGTATCTTAAGTATAAACTGAAACTTGCTTTATTTAACTATAATCAGTGAACTATCTATACAATTAGAAATTATCTAAGTACCAGAAATACAATTTAAATCAGCTAAAGCAGAAATGGATGGATGGATTTGTAGATTCACCTGGCCAGACACTCTAAGGACAGGCACAGTTCAGACAAAATGAGAGCTAGGACTCAACTGACGTCATCAAAGTAGCCCTCTAGCCAGAAGCTGTTAGCCTGTACCTGGGTCACCAAAGAAACCTCATCAGGCTAACATCCAAGCAGCTCAGAAAATGCCAGTCAGAAAGATCCATCTTTCCTGGTAACCACAGCGGAGAGGTTCCAAGAAGAATGGGGACTTGCTTAATTCTGTAAGTGTCCATCTCTTGAATCAGTCACTGTCACAGAAGTTCTGGACCTGTGAAATGGGACATGGGGCAGCTTATCCACAGCCAGAGTTATTACCTTTATCTGGGGAGGGTGGGGGGCACATAGGAAGGTCAGAAGCCAGATCTCTCCCACCATGTAGGTCCCAGAGCTTGAGTTCAGGTCAGCAGGCTTGGCAGCAAGCGCCTCTCCCTGCTGAGCCATCTTGCCAACCCCCAAGTCTGAGCAACCCATGGAACAGAAGTTCTGTAGACAGAAAGGGGAAAAGAAAGGAAGTCCGAAAAGAGTTTGAGAGGCTGCAAATCTCCACACATTGTTTTAAAAGAAGTACTGAGGGTCAAAATGTATCAAACTTCATCAAATGCAAATATCGAAAGTCCACATCCTAGAATAAACACACTATGATTGCATTCTTCGTTCAGTGCCAATGCGTGGTCTGCTCCAAAATACAATGTTTCATTTATCAGACACAACCATGAACAAGGTCAAATGAATACTAGCCAGGCAGGGTTCAAGGATTAAACATCTTCGCAAAGCTCATAGCTGATATACCTAATTGTGCCACTGATTACTTATCTACTATTATCATTACTACAGCCTTCAGTTTTAATAGTCTCTACTTGGTCATTTCTAATATTTTTGAAGAAAATGATGTGCTTACCATCTTTCCCCCCAAAGACCAAAGTTTATTACTTTGGGGGGGGGGACAATCCTATATAGGTCTTACTTACTCCTCCCACTTCTATCCCCACTACCATCCCCTCTGTATGACACTACAGGGAAGCCATAGTCAAAGGGTGTGACACCTTCAAGCAGCAAGACTTATGACCACATTCAAACACCGCTTTTTCTTGACTAAAAAAATTGTTTTGACTTCACTGAACATCAGTTTCCTCCTCTATGAGTCTGAGATAATAATTGGCAATTCTTTTGCTGACATGGTAAGCATCTTAACTGATAATGACACTAAAGCCCTTAGTGTAGTACCAGGAGAGGTCTCTCTAAAACACGGTGGTCTGGCTGAAGATGAAGATGATGGCAAACTAGACAAAAGGGCCGTATCTGTTCACATATGCCGTGTACAGGGGGACCCAATTCCCACCACATAGGAGGTTGGTAATATGTGTTTGCTGGCCTCGTGGCTCCTTTCTTGTGTGGGCTGGCGCAAAGGACACCTGAGGAGGCTGCTCTGGGTGCTGTCTTCCTTCATGATTCACATTTACCACATAGTCGTTTCCATTCGAAAGCAGGCTTTAAAAATTCCTAGGCTACTGAGACACCCTCCATGTTCAAAACCCATCAA